TAAATGGAATTATTGGAGAAAGTACCTTGGGGTCACAAGTTTTATATAGAAAGTAGTTAACATTTGGCTTTTTGATCATCATATTATTTTCTTTAAAAAGAAAATAAATTATTCTGAAATAAGCGATGGTCTTTCATCTTTGTTGCATTTAGTTTTAATTAAATAATTTCAAAATATATTTCTGTATGGTGACTTTGAATCTCTGCCACTTTTCCTCCTCTAAGCCATAATATCCCCCAGGCTAATTGAACTTTTCAGGCGAGTTTAATAAGCGTTGAGCTGTGAAAATTTGTCAGTCAGTCGGTCCATGGGGGCTTAGTCATTATGTGGGCGTGGCATGACTGGGCAAATACTTTGGGCCCGCTGCCAGAGCGCTATGGCTAATGAGCTATAAGTATCTGAAAACTGTCGAGGCATTTGCATGATGATGTGGCAATCTCTGGCCCCTCGAATACACTATATCTGGCTGCCACTAAGTATGCAACAAAGTTTTTGACAAACGACGACGATTGTCGACGGGGGCGTCTCTGGCAATTAATTGTCCAACTTGATGAGACAGCATAGAGAACTCGATCCACGAGTGGCCCACTGAGAAATGGGATTCATTCCCGTCACGGCCATCACATTACGTCTCATTAACGTTTTGAATGCATCGCGGAAATCATTCATTTCCACCCGAAAACGAAAATGAACACAATTTTGGTTGAACTTTGTAAGCTCTCAAAGTGATTTTTCAGCTAACAAAAAAGCGCCGATGACATCGCAGACTATCCGCAAAAAAACCAAAAAAAAAAAAAGAGAGGGAGGAAAACATAGAGTGAAAAGTCAACCCTCCAAAAAAGGAAGAGAAAGGAACAACAAAAAAGGAAAACAGGAGGAGGAAAATGTTTTTCAATTGAATTGATTTTGAATGCGCTCTGTCTGACTTGTGTCTGTGTTTGGTCCATTGAAAAGTGCGTACTTTAGTACAACCAAACGTACCCAAACCAGTACCCATTACACTGAAAAATAATATTAAGTATATAAAGAAAAAGTTTACATTTTGTAATTTTCACCGAAAATGTTGTTCTAAAAGAATACAATTTTTAAAATTTAATTTAAACTATATACAAATTTTAATCGCTTAAGAAATTTTCGAAATTTTTTTATCTTTTTATGAAGCATTTTTATAAAATACTTGTATTTTGTAATAGAATAATTTTATCTTTAAATGAGAATAATTATTTGTTTTAACTGTAAACTCCCCATTTTCTTGTCTGGTTGTGTCTGCCACGCCCACCACCCCCTGGGGATGGAGTCCGGCCCACTTCGCCCCGTTACGCCCCCATCCTCCTCTCATCTGCTCAGCATCAATGCATTGATTGACTTTTGCGTTGACATTTGCGCTGGGTTATCACTTCTTTGGGGGATTCCCCAGCTGGTTCCCATCCCCCGGCGGCCGTTGTGTCCCCCACAATAAACGCATTATGTTGCCATTAGTTGAGTGCCAGAAGAGCCTTCCGCTTGTTTGCCAGCTTCCGTTGTTGTCCTCCGCCTGTCGTGCGTTTTGTTCGCCTCTTTATTTGTTTGTTTGTTTGTTTGCCATTCACCTAACAATAAAAAATTTCAACTCAATGGGGGGTTCCCCCGGGTGGGGGTCAACTTGAAAAGTTGCCATGCCTGGAATTGTTAATTTAGTTAAACAGTTCTCAAGTTGCTCATCGAGTTAAAGGTAATGCATTTTCCAGTTGATTGAATGGGGAATTAATCTTGGAGTCCAAACAATTGCATTGAGAATTCTAAGAAACACAAAACCTTATTCATCATAGAATTTTTAATTTAATTTAAGCTTCAAAGATATTTTTAAAACATATTTTATTTTCCACAATCTCAATTAAATTTTCAGTTAACTCTTGAAACCAAACTTTCCATCATCGCATATTACATGACCGTTTAAATATTCCCTTGAGCTTAATATAAGCCAATTCAATTATGTGAACGCTCGAACAAAAATGGTTTTACTGCCCATTAAAAGTTGCGATTAATATGTAAACAATCATGGGCAATTGCCGACAGGAGTCTGTCCCTGAAAGTCCTTTACTCGTCCTTATCCTCTTTCATACCCCTCTATCCATTCCATTCCCCTGTTCTGTCAGCATAAAAATAACACATAATCATTTTATTAGCTCAAGGAGAACGATGCACTGAAGCATGGGAATGGTCCATCCTGTTGCTATATCGTCGATTCAGTGGAATCAACTCGACCCAGCGAAGCGAGTTACTTACGATCCTGCTCGCTGGGTTAACATGTTGCATTAGGGCCCTCGGTCTCCAATCATCTGCGATGTGTGCGATGTGCGTGGGAGGTTCGGGCCAGTGGAAGTTTTCTCGTTAGTGAAACTAATTATCCGTTGTCGCTGTCAGCAAATTTATCGTTAAACGTTAGGTGACAAGTTGAAGCCGAACGCATCTGTTGCCCCACCAAAGTCCCATCTGTCTATTGGAATCCCGGCTGCCGGAGAGTCCTTTAAGAGGATGTGTTGGAAGTTGGCTGACTGGCTGATTTGCTTTGCCCTGAGCACAAGATAAACAATGACTTTTTGTATTGCTACACAAGCTATTAAATGATAATACATTTATTAGACAGGATTTGGATTGTCGAACTGGGGGAATCATTTATCAGGCAGATGATGAGATGCTATTTACATCCCTTATTAATTACATTACATTTATTGAAGCACATGAAAAGATATTTTTTCTATAATTTCCATTTAATTACAAGCTTTCTTATTCAACTTATTTTTTCCCTCAGCTTTAGCTGATTAAATTATCATTACACAATGCGTTGGCTTCTTTTTCCCATTAAAAAACCGCAACTCACAAATGTTGTTCCGCTTGCCGCACTCACTCTCCGTCCGGAATTTCGTGCACCGGAAATGGTTGTCGATTTGCAACAAATGGCCTCCGGATGTTGCCACATGGCGCACGTGGATGCTTCGAGGGCAAAAAATTACCGGATTTTTGTAACTCTAACCCCTTTGGGCCATTAATTGCCTAGCACGTAATTATTTTGTAGTTAAAATGGGCGCGGTCGCCACACCCACACAACCTCACAAAATACCCACACTGTTGCATTGGGAGTCATGCATAATTTGGGTCCCGGAGTTTGCAGCTAATTAAAAGCGCGTTGGCTGCTGAAATTAGTCGCGCCATAAAAAGGGTGAGGAAATTGGTGGAAATTTTAGAAAGGGAAAAACGATATGAGGGGAAAACAGTCACAGGTGGCAAGTTGTGACTTTTCAATTAGCAAACCTGGAGGAAAAGCGGATTTTGTGGGTTTCGCTTGGATCCTAAAAATATGTTACTATTTTTAAAAATTTAAAAATGAATAAAGTCTCTTAGTCTTTGTTAATCCTTTTTTTAGAACACTTCACCAGGTAATTTAAAAGCCTTCATATCCATACTCACCATGATTTCAGCTTTTGATTATTTGCCCAACGCAAAGTCAACAGAAACCCAATAGTAAACACACTCACGTTTTTGTTGGTTTTAATTTCATAATTATGGCATTTTTTTATTTTGCTTTTGTAATTGCTACATTGTAAATACGTATTCAATATCAATAATTACAATTACGCATAGACACACATACAAAATGCACTTAATTTCCATCATTTGGGGTGCGATAAACAACATGCTAAATGAACTTGTGTTTGCCGACAGTTCTCAACCGAGATTTCGGCGCAAATCGATGGATATATCTGTATGTATATAAATAATTGCCTGCCTTTTCGTACAGTTCATTAGTGCGAACCAAAGAAGGGAACAAAAAGGATTTTCTTGCTTTTCTTGGCTCAGAATTGAAGGATTGATTTCATATATGCCTTGGTGGTATTTTGTTTTTAATGCGGTTTCTATTACTAAATGGGTTATATAAGTGTGTATGCATGTATATGGTATATGGTATTTAAACAACAACTAATTAATGGGGCGTGTGGGCTGGGGCGCTATAATTATTACAATTTAAATTATATATATATGCACAATTTATTCACTTGTCCGTAACTCTTTATGTTTAAATATTATTTGTTATGTCTACTCATTTGTGTTCACATTTGCATAATTAGATTGAATAATTCATTTGATATTTATAGGGATACATATACGTACGATTAACTACGGCTAGTGCATTACAATATGTACACTTAGTGGATAAACATTCATGGGTATTGAATCGATATCTGTCTGGACGCTAAGCCTAATTACGAACCCCTTAAGTAACAAACAAAATGCTGCCCATCGATCTATCTAAATTGGGTTTACATATATATATGTGTATTCTAAAGCTAACGCAGCGTTTTGGCTATCATCGTCTGCATACTTGGAGGAACTTATCATACTTTTTTTGTTTAATTTACAGTGATCTTTGCTATATCTAAGCTTAGCCTACAGTGTAACGAAAGCGGTTTCTTAGTCAGAGATTTAGCGCGAGTTAGAGATAGATAGAGCAGGAGAGCTGGAGAAGTAGGGTAATATGTCTATCACTAGCATAGGGCCGGTGGCTCCAAAGTTCGGAGAGCCCGGCTTTTCTTTAGAAACGAAACCTTGTAATACTAATCAAATTAAGTGTAATTCTCAAACGATTCTCGCACTCTGTCAGTCTCAGTCTTGGTCACTTTTTCGTTTGTGACAAATGCAGCAAGGGGAACAAGCCGAGAATCGATTTTATAGTAAGGGGATTATTTTTAGATGGATTTTGGATTACAAAAAAATATATTATTGCTCTATTTTCGTTGAATATAAAATCAAATGAATTTCTGGGACTAAGAAGATTTCATTATCTCCAAAATGTACTCCAAAAAATAAGAAATAATTTTTAATATATTCATTTAAGTAATATACCTTACTACATCGATTTCGTTCGTTCCTCTGGCGCTCCTTCCTAGCTTTTAAATCAGCACTCTTTTCCCTTCGATTACCCCTTCCCTAAGCACTTCCCCTTCCAAATACCCTTTCCCAACCTACTCAAAGTTCTCCACTCCTCCGTTGTTGAAGCGTTCGCACCAGGCGAGCAGTTCCCGCACTTCCCTGGCATAGAGTCGCTCCTGCGACTGCAAATCGCTCTGGGACTGCGACTGGGACTTCGATTTGGATTGAGGCTGGCCCAGGGACGAACCAGAGGGCAAAGGTCAGACATTATGGCCAGCCGGCTGGCTGCTGGTGCCGCTGCCCGAGTTGCTCAGCAGGCTCCTTTCGCTGGCCACACTTCCGGGGGCGTAGATCAACTCGTTGGGCTCCTTGCTGGATTCCTGCATTCCATTCTTGCGACTGCCCCGTGTGCTCTGGTTTCGCCAGGACTGCAGATGCGTCTCCGCCGGATGCTGTGGCACCAGGGGAATCAGCTGCTGCTGCTGCTGCACCGGCTGTTGCTCGTCCACCTTGACATACAGTCGCTCCATGTCATCCAGATCCCCATCCGCCGTGTGGTACAGGGCGTGCTCGTCCTCGTGCGACATCAGCATGGCCATCGGAGAGGGGGAACCACCGCAGCCGGAGTCCGCCAGTCCGTTGTAGCACAACGAGGAACCATCGAGATCGAGGAGATTCTGCTGATTCTTGCCCTGATCCGTGTTCAGCACCTTGAAGCGGGCACTATCCCTACCAATACTGCAATTCGGGGGCATCTGCTGACGACGCACACTCGCAAACTGCGGGGTGATGGGCGATTGGGATTGCTTGGCACCCGGAGCCGCCTCGTAGGTGTGGCAGTTGCTCAGCTTGTTCTCGGTGATGTGGATGTGCCGCTGCTTGTCCTTGGGATAGTAGTACTGCTCGGAGTAAACGGAGCGCGGCGGTCCCGTATTCGTGGGGTAAATCTCGCTGGTGGTGGACATCTGCTGATAGATGTTGCTGGGGGGCAGTTGCTGGTGTTGCTGATGTTGCAGGTTCGCCTGTTGCTGCTGATGTTGCTGTTGCTGCTGTTGGTAGTGCGGATGCATGGGACGCTGAAGACCATAACCGGGAACTGGTCGCTGTTGATAACGAGGTTGCTGCTGCTGCTGCTGCTGTTGGTGGGGACTCAGGATCGAGGAGGTGGCATAGGGGGCCGGGGAGGCATTGCCATGCCGCCCATATTCACTGGGCGCCTTGCCAAAACTGGACACTTCTGCGTAGTCGGTCGGTATGTTGGAGTACTCGCCCACGTACCTGCAAATGAACAGATAAAAACAAACAGAGTTGAAACACCAGAAAATACTCGGTTATTACTTGGCTTGTTTATTACAATATTCCTCTGACCCACTGGCTCTGTGGCCCTGTCCTCCCACTTTGGTTATAAATTTGTGCAATTTATGGCTCGGCGGAAATTTGCATTTTCAGTCGGCGAACGACTGCGGCTGCTGCTGCTGCGTGCTTTTCCAAGCGGCAAATATGTGAATTTAGTTGGGATTTCCCATACATATATTCCAGAAGCACACACGAGATCAGGTGGCAAAATAGTGCTAGAGAGACGGTTATCCTTACATCCATTAAATAAATTACCAGCTTAAAACAAAAGGTGCAAATGCTGGACTTTCCCGAAAGGCAGCCCCAGTTTTCCATGCCACCAGTCGACCCCCTTTCATTCTCGCATTTTTAGCATTATTTTCGTATTTAAATACTGAAAGCGGATTAACCCGGCGGGGGCCATCATCGCGCAACCCACTCAGAGAGCCCATCCCCGAAAAGGGGAAAAAACGATTTTAAAACTCTGAAAAGCTTGTAAAAATATATGGCGCATTGATGGAGTTGCCATGGCGAAGGGGATAAAGCGCGTCCACTCCACATAGAAGGCTTTTAATGCCCTTAATGAGTGGCGCCGAGGAATGAAAGTTGGTCCTGTACACGGAATAGTAATGAGCTTGTCAAATGTCTGGCTCAACGGGGCAAAAAACATTGAAATTATTTTTAAACGAATTAATTATCATAAGGCCATTTTGTGAAGAGAACTTGAGCTGGGAAATCTCTTTAAAATATAGTTTTCGCTTCTTATTCCGTAGGGTATTTTCCCCCTGGTCAGCACATTTTCCCGACACATATGACTCTCATTATTGTGTGATTACTTTTATTGTTATGGTTATTATTTTGTTGCCATTATTAATAATATTTCTGCGGAATTGGACTCTGCTGCCCGGAAGGTGAGACTCATTTTCAATTTGCGTTTTAATGGCTAATTAAGTGTGCAAAAATAATTATAATTATCTAGGCTGCGTATTTATTTACAGTAGTCGCTTAAAAAAACCAGCAGACAGCGCATTTTTAATTTCCACATTTTTGCTTTGGTTTCGTGATATTTTATTCCTTTATTTTTAGTGTGACTCTTCGGCTTTTGATGGCTGATTGGCATTTAATTGCCGTTTGCTGGACAGCAGCTGGGCTCGCACAAAAATAAATATATATTTTTCATTAAGTAGAGTTTTTCCTTGGTTCGCCGGCAATGCTAAAGCGATTATGTGCTAAGTTTTATGAAAACAAAATGGTATTTTAATAATTAAGTGGTCCTGAAGTCATTTTTTAACTTTTTCTTCTCAATTAAATTCAATTTATTAAAGTTGTTTAAATCTGGAGTATTTAGTTCATATGTTCACCACTCGAAATAATTTTTGTTTAATTTGCGGCCAGTATAAAATCAGCCGCAAATAAATAACAATTACAATTCGATGCCAGAAACATTGCGCCAAAACACTTTCGAGCCGAAACAATATTTTCACTGGCCCATTTGGCTATTTTCCTGCATTTGCCAGGGGCCAGACAAATAAATTAGATCGCCCTCGGCGGAAAAGCCCGCTACATGGACTCAACTTTGATTTGCCATCTACCGCAAAACTAATTGAAAATTCGCGGCCAAATTATGCATAGCATATTTTATTCCCACCCAGAAACCGATAACCTTAAAGTCGATTTAAAGCCGACCCTCCGAGGCCTCTGATAATTACATTGCTCTCTTTTTTCGGGCGCGAACTCAACTGGGCTTTGGTGAAAAATCAACATAAATAGCGTGGCCAACATTTCTATTCCTAACTTGATTTTCCCTATGGCCCACGGGAGAATGAAAGAAAAACTCTACCGAAAAGTGAGCTTTTTCGGTTTGTTTTCCCTTTTTTTGTGGATGCTCCTGTTTTTTTGGTAGTCGCCGCTGCAGAAAAATGCAATTTCACAGTTTGGTGAATTTTTATTGTCGTTGTTTTGAGCTGCCAGGTCGACGAAACACTCTATCCTTGTAAAAGGTATTTTGGATTGGACTTAGAGTTGGTGTAACCTTTATAGGGCCTAGTTAACTACAGAAAATAATTGTTTTTGAGGAAAAATAGGACCTAACTTTAAAAAAGCGGAGGCCTGTTCAATACCCATATTTAAAAAATGATCTTTATATTTTTATTAATTTACTTTGATATATTAATGATTTAAACACTTTTTTCAACTGCAATATTTTTAATCGATGAGCACAAAACCTCTCTAACCCTTTTCTACTCAAGTTATATTCACTTTTTGATAAAAGAGCATCCCCAGCTCGTTGTTGTTTTTATCAAGCCCCGTCTTTATCTGCCCTCTTTATTGTTGGATTGGTTTTTTCGTGGTGAAACTTACCGCTGCTGATTGCGTTCGGTGCCGTGTCCTCCATGAATGTCATCGCCGCCGCTGGCACCGCTGCCCGCACCGCCGGACCCACCGGAACCGGCACCACCGCCGGCCGGAGAACCGGGGGCACCACAGACCGGCGCATAGTCGGCGATGTGATCCTTTTGCATCTCCAGCGAATCGCCGCCGGGCGAGGGACGCCACACCATTCCGCCGGTGGAGGAGTCCAGCCAGTAGCCATTGCCGTTGCGAGTCGATAGACTCGGCATTTTGAGCACGTCGCTCGTGTGATTGCCTGCAGGTGAGAGGAAGGTTGGGGGAAAACGGGGACAGTCAGTCAGAGCAATTAAATGTGGTGCAACAAATTGTGAGCCGAATAAATTGCTTTCCGGAAATTAAACAAAAACATATAAAAGGGCCGCCTAGACAATTGTGTGTTCCCGCAAAGGATTTCGATGGGATTATGCCAAAGAGAATCTGGGGAGTATTTGAAAAGGAACCCTAATGATGAACCCAATGATTGAATTAAACAGACTCTAAAAATTTTAAAAATCTTTAAAATGTTAATTTTTTTAGCGAATTTAATTCCCGGAACGTTTAAAGCCACTGCAATAAATTGAACGCATTAAAATAATATTAAACCCATCCAGTGGTGTTTTCCCTTCGACTGCCAGCTACAAAATCAAATAAATTATTGTCAATTTTCCACTTGCATTGCCTGCTCACAAAGCACAACAACTGCAACAACGGGTGCGGCATAAAAAATGCAACCAATTAAACTGTCCCCGGGTTATAACTGAGCATCAGCGGAGTGTTTTATAGCCCGCCACCTCCCGCCTGGCGTTCCCTCATATTTTTGTGCTTTTTTTCAGCTGGCTGCAGGTGAATATTCTGATCTCCTCCTCTGCAGCTTAGTTTATGGTAAATGGCGCCCATGAATATGCAACATTTTTTTTTGTGTTCTGTCGCTCTGTTTCAGACCATTTGGATTTTTTGGCTTTGGCTTGTCTACGCTATTGTTGAGTGCTGAGTTTTGACAGCGAAATGCGCATTGCACGGTTTTAAAGATTAAAGTACATTCGTATTTAATTCCTTGATTTGTTATTAAATTTTTTAGCCAGTCAAAACACATTCTAGTTACCTTTTAAAGCGTGGACAAAAATCTCGACCGTGACAACCATTTAGAAAAACCGTCTGAGCCAAAATGCCCAATTCCCTAGTCAACAGGCCACCACCATTCCTTCCTCCCTTTCCGCTCAGCTCGTAATGCTGCTAATTTCAATTAGACCACAAGAGCCGCCTCTACCCTTACTTTTCCATATCCGTAGGATATATATATATACCTATATCTCGCTTCTTCCTGTTGGCCGGCTGACCGGCACACACACAACTTGTTGGTTAATAATGCACACAAAACTAAATGCATAATTGCAATGGCAGCCATTAGGGGGTTGGGTCGAGGAATTCCTAGTGAACTAGGGGAAGTTGGCGTCACGTGCAAAATGTTAATTCCTATTATGTGTGGCATGTGAGTGTGTCGATGTGCCTGGTGCTCGGGGCCTCTACGCTCAGCCTGCTAAAATATTTATTCGCACCTATTTGGGTTTTTTATTTCAGCTTCGCTCCGCGCTCTAGTTGTTGTTATTGTGTCCAACAATGGAGAATTAGCGTTATTTATATATGCAAATGTGTGTGTGGCGTGTCTGGCGAGGAAGGAAACGAAAACTAGCAGCTAGCAACGGATGCAGAGCTTGAGGGACAGAGTCGGATGTTCACTGGCGCCCTATATGTATATTGAAATAATGGGGGCTTTACACAAACAAAAAAAATTATTTTGCGCCAAATAAACAAACTAACTAAATAGGTAACCTTATGCTTTTGTTAAAAATCAACTATTCGCCACAAGTAGTTGGCGCCCAACGTGGGGCATTTTAGTTATATCCCTCGTTGGGCGCCAAATATAATTTTTTTTCAATGTACTTACCACGCATGGTATTCAGGGCCGACTGCTTCATCATCATGTGCTTGCGCTTCACAAAGACCATTGCGCCAAAGGATAGCATAAGAATGGCAAGGATGGCGCCCAGGAGTATTATGAACCAGGGCTGCGTCAGCACATCGTTAACATGGTCCTGATTGATGGGATAGCTGGAAGCAGAAAACCAAAATTATAAATAGAAATTATCCACTCACAGTTAAAACCTAAAAAGGAAAGACAAGTCTTAAAGGACTCCAACTTACCGCTGATTGATAAACGGATCGAGCCGTTTGGTGATGGGATCCAAACGCAAAGTGGCTGGGACGCAATAAGGACCGATTCCGGCATTATTTCCGGCAGCCACGCCCACCGTGTACATGACGCCTTCGGTGAGATTGGCCAAAACCAAAGTTGGCGAGGCGGCATCGATGGTGACATTTGTCAAAATGCGTGAGAAATTATGAGCAGTGTCAATGCCGCGGACTATGACATGATAGTTTAGGAGAATGCCTGAAAATGTCATAATACACGTTAATTAGTTAGGAGAAGTCAAGACTTTGAAGAGGCTTAACTAAAAAATAAGCAAGATATGTCCTATAATGGCATATATCATTTACTTACCATGACGATCCTTGAGTTCCGGAGCCTTCCATTTCAGGAACACCGCTGAGGAATTAAGCAGCAGAGCCTCCATTCCATATGGTGCCTCAGTGGGAACTGGAAAGGAAAACGAATTTCGTTCGGGTTAGATTTGAATTTTAGTCTGGCTGGAGATTGAGGAGCAAAGTTAAATGGCTTTTTGATTGTGGTGCGTGATGTCACCCAGCTGACGTCCGCTCTAATGAGATTTGGTGGCCGTAATTAATTAGCATTTAGTGTGTGTGGGTTCCGAAGGGGAAGTTGCCGTTGCAACTAGTTCCGGGTGTTGGCTTGAAGGGTTTCCCGACCATTGCACTCCTCAGACACATCCTGCCTGCACATCGAGTGCGTACAGAAAAGGAAACAGTTGAAAAGCAGCAAAAGAATCCTTTCCTTTTCCCCCGGTTGCAGCTCACTTCACAACACACACATACAGCTCATCTTCATTTGTTTATTTATTTCCTGCTGTCGCTTTTTACAAGTGAATGCACTGGGCAAAATGTGTGTAAGCAATGTCGCCTCATTTTAAAGATTTTGGAGCCCAACGTGGGATTTTCTTATATTTTTGTATTAGTTATATAAAAAAACGTAGTATTTAAATTTAATGATCCAATTTTAATATATCTTCTTGACGGGTAAGTACTTTTTAAAATTCAGAAGTTATACAATTATTTCCCCGAGTGCAACCCTTATCCCCTACAGACTTTCTCCAGCCCCTTTCTCCCGTGTTTTGTATCTTTTTGTGTGTGCGGCTGAGTGAAGCAATTTCTTTAAATAAACACACACGTGCAAAATTCTCAACGAGACAAAAGTGGGAGACCGGGAAAACAAAGCGGAGAAAGAGTGAAATCTCTAAATAGGCAACGTCTAGCGGAGTGTGAAGTGGAGTGCAGTTGTTCTTCTGTCTTTTTTGGCTTTGTTGTTACCCAGCTCGCTGAATTTTCCCCTTTTCCTCGGGGACATTGCGACATGCTAAAGTGCTTGTCGTGCTATTGTCTATGCGGGCGTTTTTGTGCCTTACCCCTTTGCTTTCTTCCCGGTGCTTTCTGCTTTTTTGCCTTTTTCTTCCGCTGATGAGGCACCGCGATGCTTAACACGTATCTGCCATTGTGTGGCATAAATGACCCCCGGGCACACGAGATTCGACAATTGTCTCAGACACTGGCAAGCAATTGAAAAACTCCAAATTGGCACGGTGATCACTGCGAAATGCTGCTGCAACCGAAGGCAGCTTATCTAAATGTTGCAGTCTCGAGGTTTATTCGATAGTCTGTGCGAATATATGACTCATCTGGTTTCGGGGGTTAATTCGATAGTGCACATGTGACTCAGATTGGGTTGCATGTGACTGATGGTTAAAGTGACCACTCCCTGTTTCACATATTCGGTGTCTAACATAACAGGCGGAAACTTCTTGAGGGGACGTACATGAGAAATGGCCAATAAAAGTGAATTTATTATAAAAGCATGCTTGCACAGCCATCGGAGAGTGTCCTGTGAGTAGAGGACGTATTTTTAATTTTTTCCTTTTATTTACTTGGGTATTTTTCTGCAGAGCATTCCCTAGTCATTGAATCCCAGTCTAAACTTACATTTTAACCTCCTTTTGCTACCCTCTAACGTTTACCCAGCGGAGCACACCTTTATTTGCCAACTTCCGACGCGGGTAAAAATGTTTCCTGTGCGGAAAAGCGAGGACTCACAGCCTTTTCACCTCGCCTAAGCAAACGCGCATCAAATTTGCATTGCCAGCACTGCACAATTTTGTGGCTGAGGATTCTATGTAGGTACTCAGTGCTTCATATAGCATATAGCAATAATTGTTGTTTATCTTTACACAATTGCGTTGGCAATTTCTTTGAGTCGAGCTGCTGGTGTTGTTGTTGCCAGCAGGAGTCAGACGAGAAGCTCAAGTGAAAATGTGATGCATGCGAAATGAGTTTTGATTTGATGACAGCAGGGAGCGGAAAGGGTTAAGCAGGTGGATCCCAGGACTTCCAGAGAGACAGAATGAGAGATTCGGCTTGGGTGCGCGACGTTTGTGCATTTTATATTGCTGCGGTTGCCGCATCTCAGTCGTAGCCGTTTGTTGACTTATCTGCGGCACTGTGAGAGGTCCCTGAGTCTTTCGCCCCTTCACTTTGTTTGCCTGGCTTTTGTTTTTAATTATTTTCTTTTTAATTTTTGTCCCTCTTTGGCGAGATCCTTTGCTCATTGGGAATTGTTCACTTTTCGTTGCACTTTCGGTGCTGCCGGAAGTTTTTTTTATCCGAACAGCTTAGCGGGTGATGGAATGAAGTGATAAACCTGTCTGGAAAGTTTCCTTTTTCCCGTTGAGTTTGCATTTTTCTTGGCCAGCGAGTTTGAAAGAGTCTTATCTGACATATTCCCCGCGCTGTCAATGATATTTTTGGCTAGCCTAATCCCCTGGATCAACGGCAGACAATCCTTTGAGCAGCCCCAAAATGTACTCCCCTGGCTGTAACACATGTAAATCGCCGGCATCAAGTATTCTGCACACAAACCGCATTTGATTTGAGACTCTTTTTGATTCCCCAACTGGAAATGATATGCTCCTCCCCTTGAGCAATTGTTTTCCACGTGGATTTGACATCCCTACCGTGCTGGGATATCACCGGTTGGGCGCTTCTAACATTGTTTGGCATTTACGTACGCATGATTTGCTTTTTGTCGGTGCTCGGTGATTGACATACTTTCCATTATTCGCCCTATAACATGGCCCCCGATAAAAAAGTAACCCATAAACATACCGAGCTGCCTACGCCCTTTTTTTCTGTTGGGTCGTGCGACCCTGGTAAAAATAATTTGCGATTATGCGACCCGCATTGAGCGCAGCTGATGTCCGTCAAGGATAAAGGATACCTCCCTCTTTGTACGCTCAGCCGTTTTCCTTTTACCGCTCATATCCTTTTATTGAATTTGGGTTATTGTTGCAATGCAAAAAGTGCCCCGTAACTTGCCTTCTGCATTTGTCACATGCGGCTCGGGGTTTTGGGTATGGGGGTTGCTTTCGGGGGTTGTTTCTTGTAAAGGTATTTATACGGTTTGCTGGATTTCGCTGGATTTGTTGCACATGCTTCATTAGATCGGGCGGGAGAAAGTACTGAGAATACAATTGATTGCAAATCCTGACTGACAGTATGAAAAAACGTTCGAAAAAGCTGGAAAGGAAATTGGCTAAGTCCGACGGCAAAGATAGCAATCGATGGGTTATAGATTCTTTTCTCTGCTAAAAATATTATATATCGATAGCATCAATAAGCCCAGAAAGCGATTATTTCGATAAGTTAATCTTTTTTAAAATTCGTAATTTTTGGCCGAATTTTTAGAAATAATCGATAAACAAATAAAACGATTTTTGAGTAAATTATAACAAACGTAGAAATCAGAGTATCTCCTCGTTTCTAACCACCCAAGCACACTGTTCACGCTTACGCACTCAAAATATCCCATATCAAAGGAGCTAATAGTATTTCAAAGAACTCCATTTGTAACCCCCAAAAGTTCTTCAACTCACCATCTTCAAGGGTGCGGGCGATGCGCGAATTCGACGGCTTGCCCTCGACGGATTTGTAAAATGGCACGATGAAAAATTCATACAGCGTGTACTGGACGAGCCCGGTGATGGTGCAGGATGAGGCGCCACCTCCGTTCAGAATCGTCAGCATGCGATACTTGGTGCTCTGCGGGGTTGGAGTTCCTCCTCCATTCTGGCTGGTCTCCCCATCACGTTTGCCGGCAGCGGCAATATTTGGTTTTGTCGAAATCAATGCGGATGCCGAGGCGGATGCAGATGCGGATGCGGAGCCCAGCAGCGGATTGGTATTGGTCGTAACGGGCACCGGATTGTTGACTATTGGATTTGGCAACTGTCTAGCATAGACATAGAAGCCCTCGACATATTTGCCATTGATGATCTGCATGGGTAAGGAAGGTGACGATGAGTAAGGGAATGGGAGACCTCTGTAATGTAGACTACATACCTGCCAGGTGAGCTTCATGCTGGTGGAGTCCACCACACTGGCGTTGCTCAGCTCCACAACATCTCCGGACAGCAGACTGGCACGAGCCTCGCTCAGATCCAGACCACTATTGAAGTAACGCTGGAAGAAGGAAATGAAAACCCAAATTAAGTATTAATAAAGAAAATACAAGGATGAAAAACTCACCGTTCCCACCGTAATGGGTTCCGACATCGGACTGGGCAGTGATAGGCCATGAGAGTTCTCCGCTCGAATTAGGAAGAAGTAATTCACACCCGGCAGCAGACCCGTTTGGGTAAAAGTCGTATTCTGGAGGCGGCTGGCCACAGCCACCCAGCCATCGGTTTCGTTTTTGCCAAACATCTCGATTACATAGCCCACCAGGCTGGAGCCGCCCACCTTGTTGCTCCTCGTCCAGCTCAAAGTCACCGAGCTCTCGCCCTTCTCCACCATTTGCGGTTTGCCCGGTGGCCCCGGGTAGGTGGAGAGTTCTGCCGCACGGAAGAACTTGATATTCGGATTGGTGGGGGTGTCTAAACGCAAGTAGCCACTCCAGGAGGATTTGCCATTGCGATTGCTGGCCACGCAGGTGTACAGGCCCTCATCCTCGTGACGCTGCAGATCCGAAATGGTCAGAGCTCCTCCCTCGGAGAGATTCCTGCGCTCGTGCTCCTGCACATCGATGGGTATCCCGTCCAGATACCACGAGACCTGCGGCACCGGAGTGCCCAGCGTTCGACAGGGCAGCACCACAATGGATTTCACGGGCAGCGTCTGATTCACCGGACCCTGTTCGATAATCGGCGGCGGCAATTCGAATTGCGTATCCACACTGACCACCGTTCGGCTGCTGACGCTGCCCACGGCATTCAGGGCATTGCAGGTGACCACCTTGCCGGAGTCCTCGCGGGCAAATCGAGCTATCGACAGCACGGAGCGCCCCTCGGGCGTCAGGGTCACCTCCATGCGACCATCCCGGTAACCGGGCAGCAGGAGGGAGCTGTTGCCCTCCACCGACCAGTAGAGGGTTGGTCGGGGGTGGCCATTCGCCTGGCACTCGAACAGCACTTCATCACCGATCTCCACCAGCTGATTCTTGGGGCGTATCACGAATTTGGGGGGTGCTAAAAGGGAGAAGAAGGGGAATGTTAGTACACAGCGACAAAATCCTGTAAAGTTCGGTTGGGTTTTAAAAAGGTGTCGAAAAGTATTCAGCAAAAAATGAAAGATGTACTTCGTTGTAAATATATAGTGTAGCATACTTTTAGACACCTGTAAAATAATTTTAAAACCGTTCATCAATTTATTTGTTGTGTTCTAATGTCGAAGAAGAGAAAATCCTGTAAAAATTTATTCGGTTTGTGGAAAAACGCAGCAAATCACTTAAAAAGGTGTCGAAAAGTATGAAGTAAAATTGGTATGTTTTAGTTAGGTATTGTAGCATACTTTTAGACACCTTGAAAAGAGATTTTATACATTTGAATGGAATTTGGCACCCAACGCTTTTCGCACAGTGCACTCCTTGAGCATTTGCCGCTGCTTTCAGGCAATTAACTTACCGTGAACGGTGAGGATGCCCGTGGCCGTGATGCCGCCCACCGCATTGTCCGCCTCGCAACTGTACTCGCCCATGTCCTCCAGCGTGACGTCGTCCAGCTTCAGACTGCGGTCCTCAAGTACGTGCACACGACCTGTCGAAAGAATGGAGAAAATCGGGGAAATGAATCTCATGTGTGCGGATGTGGGTGGGGATAGGGGGTGTGGAAATGGGTCCAGTCCAGAAGCATTCGAAAGAAAAACAAACTTTCTGGCTGTCTGTCTCTGCTTCTACTTCTACTTCGTTAGTAGTTCAAGTGGCGGAAAAATGGCCAAGTCGTATTCTCCGCAGCCGGAGAGCCAAATAACCGCAGCAAAGTAAGCCAAGACAAGATACGACATAGACAACGACCGCCCTCTTTCTCCCAGGAGGAGCACCTTTTGTGGTTTTTTCCCCCGTACAATAAACAGAAAGAAAAGACAAAGGTTTCTCGGGGGGGAGGCAAAGCTGACTCTGCTTTCTTTTTGGTTGGTTGACTGCGAAATAGGTTTTAAATGTGGGTGCTGCCGGCTCACCTTCTCCATTCTCATCCTCATCCTGGCCCCTGTGCCAATTGTTTGCTTAACAAAAGTTTAGGACAACAACCGAGGCAGCCAGGAGAAGAGCCCCCTCTATATGGAATCTCTTCTGCTACTATTTTCTTTGAGGTCTTTAAAGAAGCGTAAACTAGCTGGAGAAAAGTGCCGGGCAAATGGGCGGATACTCTCCCCCCAATGAGGGGTTAGTTGCACTGCCCTTCGGGTTGGCAACTGACTCCGTCTGAAGGACAACATTGCAACAGTCGAGTGTTGTGCAAGCAAAATTGTTGATTGCTGCCAACAGAGATTGGCAATTAACGGAATTAAAAGTTACAGTTGTGTTTGCCCAGCTAGGGCGAAAAAGGGGGCGTGGCTGGGGGTTGCAAGGGGGCTGCGAAGGGGTGGCTACCCTGGTGGCCAAAACCGCACCACCACCCAAACCGTGAACCCAAACTAACAACAGCAAACGGAATTGTGCGGGGGAGTAGTGTTTTTATAGAGGTGTTTTCTGCACTGTGGAAATTGAAACATTTAAAAAATAAACTTCTAAACTGATTTTTAAAAGCAGGATTATTGAAATAATTTTAGTTTGGTGTTGAAAATTTTTCAAAAATATTTTTCTTGGTTAATGAAAGCTATCATTAGGAAGCTAAAATATTTTAACTAATTAACATTTTTTTAATACAGTTAAATACTTTTCAAATAAAAGTAGAGCCTCCTAAAATAATTCCCAGTGCATTCCGTAAACACAGCCAATTGGCAACACGAAAAGCCACAGGCCAAAGCAACCGCATAAACTAACTTTTTGTTTTGTTTTCTATTTTTTTTGTCCACAGTGTTGCGTGTGTGTGTGTGGGTGTGGGTGTGTAACGAACCCTCGACTCTACTTGAGCCATGGGTAAACAAAAAAGCTTTAATTTCATTTGAAATTGCGGCCTGTGCATGTGTGAATAACTGCCCCAGTGAGAGAGCCACTAACATCGGCAACATGGCTGCCCAGGCATTTCCGGTTAATTGAAGCTGAATGAAGCCAAAGTCGAAGCCGAAAAAGAGGAAACTTACGCAGTGGCATATTGCCGCCGGAGGCAGTGCGTCGCCACAGAACATCGGGCAGGGGATCGCCTCCAATGCGGCACTGGAAGACCACCGAGCTGCCCACCACAGCCGTCTGATTCTGGGGTCCACGGATGAGGAACGGGCGAACTGCAAAGTACAGAAAATATAATATGTAGTTTAAGCGGGGAAAATATTGAGAGAGGAAATTAAAAACCTAAGAAAAATAAAAAGGTTTTTTAATTGCATATCTTTGACAGATTTGAAATTCCTTTTGAAAGTTCACTTTTAATGTTGTCATTAGTAGGAAGCAGAAGGCTTCTAAACAAGATAAATGCTATTACTTAGCAGTCATGAAAAATCATATGATTTATCAGATTATTTATAAAGTCTTTAACTAAGTACAAAATCTGGTACCTCAAGAATTCGCGTGATTTCCATTTTAACATTTTTACAAATATTAAGTTGAATTTTTTTAAATAAATAAATTTATTTTTACTCACCATGGACTTTTAGGAAGGCGGTGGCGGACTCACGGGTGCCAACCACATTCTTGACCACACACTGATACCGTCCGTCGTCCGATTGCCGTGCCTCCTGGATGGCCAGGTTGCCGCCATCCACAATGCGAATCCGCTTGTTCCCGACGAGATTCAGGGTCTGGCCATTCTTGCGCCACGAGATTTGCGGCTCCGGAGATCCTCGGGGGGCACCGCATTCCATCAGGGCCACTTCGCCCTGGGCCACGCGGGTATTTGCTGGCTCCAAACGGAATTCGTCGCGGAGAACTGGGGGTGAGGGTGATAAAGATGGGGAAAATGCCAGTGAGATTGGGATGTAAAAGGGGTGGGAGAGGAAAATGGCCCGGAGTAAGAGCTTTGATTGATTCAATATTAATAACTGTCAGGTGTACTGGCAACGTCCACTTTGCCCGGCTTAAGCTACACTCCTCCATATTTTATAAGCCAGACCCTCCTTCTCCCGCCTCAATATGCCAATAAAAGCTTGGTAATGATGCCCGGACTTCAGGTTTACGGCTTTGAACGGACACAACTCGCTCTCGCTAGCAAACAGCCAACGGAAATATTAATAAGCTTTGGCATTTGCAATGCTTATTTTTATTTATTCGCTTGCCTCTCGCATCTTCTGCGCTCGCATTTTTATTGAGCGAAAATGCAAAATGGTCGGAGTTGAAGTGTACAAAATGTAAAATGCGAAATGCAAAATGCACTTCAATAAACGCATAATGCGCTCCGCTGAACGCCAAAGGCACTGGAATAAAAGCACACCAGTGATGGCTTCTCTTTGCCAACTCGGTTATCGGACAACATAAGTAGGATAGCGATAGCATGCCGGCGGATGGTCAAGTTTTTATGGCTTTAAGCCCGGCTGAAATCGGAATCCTTTATGGTTTACCGGATTAATTAATCTCGACTTCCCCCCATCTACCTGAAATCTCTGCAGTTCGCATGAGCTGGCTATCGATTACGCGGCCAAAAGATGTTGGCCATTTTCCCCATTTCATTTTATTATACCCGTTACTCGTAGAGTAAAAGGGTATACTAGATTCGTGCAAAAGTATGTAACAGCTTGAAGGAAGCGTTTCCGACCCCATAAAGTATATATATTCTTGATCAGGGTCACTAGCCGAGTCGATCTAGCCATGTCCGTCTGTCCGTCTGTCCGTCTGTCCGTCTGTCTGTCTGTATGAACGCTGAGATCTCAGAAACTACAAAAGCTAGAAGGTTGAGATTTCCCACACATATTCTTTGGCTTCCTACGCAGCGCAAGTTTATTTTAGCCGAGCGCCACGCCCCCTCTAACGCCCACAATCGCCCACTAACGATTTTAAAATGGGTCCTGCGCCCACATCTTTAAAGATTTCCGAGAAGTATAAATGCAATTTTGTTGTGTATATTTATACCTATCGAAATGTAGAAGACATTTTTCAAATCGGACCATTCATTAAAAAGTTATACGATTTATAAATTGTCAACATATATCTATCTCCCTCGCACTCCCTTTAGCTGAGTTACGATTATTAGTCGGGACACCAACCTGACACAGCGTTCGCACTCCCTTTAGCGGAGTGACGGGTATTAGATAGTCGGGACACCAACCCGACTATAGCGTTCTCTCTTGTTTTATTTTATTTCACTTCATTTTATTTTATTAATTAGAAAGCAGAGTCGAGAACTGAAATGCAGCTGCCCCGATTTGGGGTAAATTTCATGAAATGCAACCCTCCAATTAGCTGAAAATGTTGGCTTGTTCTAAAGTCCAATCAATCAGTGTCGTGTTTGGATGCATTGTTTGACTGGCATAGCTGCCTTTGAGCTGGTTTAGAATTTTTAAAGCTGAATTGTATTTGGTATGCTCTAAGGAAGTTGTCAAAAAATTGTATGCAGACTGTTGAAATAGCTTAGTAAAATATAAAATTGGCTTGTTAATGCCAAACATATGGAACTACAACCATAAAACCTCTATAAATTTGCATAAAAAACTAAAAACTGATGTATTATTATGCATGGTTAATAGCCTTTAAAACACCGAACCAATTAGTGTTGCCAAAAAAGCAACATATTTACTTACATGCCACTTGCAACGTTGCATTCCTGGAACGGGCCACGCCAAACTCGTTTTTGGCCTCGCACCAATAAGTGCCCGCATCGCTCTCTCGACGTGAGTGGATAACCTGCGGGGGAAAAAGAGATTATTAGATACACGAGTTAAGAGATTTAAGTAGTTTCTCGGGTCGGCTTAGGCCGGGTCACGTGTCAGATCAAAAAGTCTCAAAATCGCTCATCCGAAATCAAATAAAAGTGAAACGTGCCATGCCCCATTGTGCCTCGCACTCTCTTTCTCTTTCTGCTCGTTGTTGTCCAGTCTGCGTATACGCAATTTAATTTAATTAAAAAATACATTGAAGCCCAAGGGGTAGCATCCTCCCCATGAGCATCTGAGTCTGTTGGGCCTTAATCACTTGGCCACTTCAATTTTAATTGGCAACAAACCGAATCTCGCTCTTGGATGGGGTTGACTTACCCCCAAAATAAAGAATAACAAATTGTTATGGACAATAATAAAAGTAAATTGCTGAACTTGAGCTCTGCCCCGAGGTTCAACTTGAAATATTATGCGAAATCATACGAGAGCATCCCTAGTCTCCCTTTTAGTTTTTAATGCATTTGTTTTTTTAATATTTAAATTTAAAATTTAACACAAATTCAAGACTCACTGAGCCATTAATAATTTGCGGAAAAATAATAACAAAAGCGGTGAAATTTGTTGCATTTAATGAAAATAACAGGAGCAAGAAGGAAAAAACGAGTAGGAATTTAATATAAACAGAGTCCGAGGAAATTGCAATGTCTGATGGCAGAGACAGACAGACGACACCCTTTCTTTATTCAGAGTTTGGGGCTTTCGAGGAGTCTCGTTAGCTGAAATTGCGCAATGTGCACGCACGAAATGATATAGGGGTTGCTTGGGGGTCGCAAGCCCCAACGAAACAACATCTTTTGTTTGTTCATCAGGTTGTTTTCCCTATCAACTAAAATGCAACCAGACGGAAGCCCATAAAATAATATGGGCAGGCCGAAAAAAAGGAAAGACGAACTGCTTATGCACAAATGTTGCGTTTCACATGAGACTGATGGCGTAGAACTGCACGGCCTGGGAACCCAAATAAAGGAACTCCACGCCCCCTTCGACAGCTGTAAAACCCATAATGATAGAGCCGATTCGGAATGAGTTGATTGGTTATGATGTGTACCTTGAGAAAGAATAATCCGCCGGCGGGCAGAATCATGCGATGCGAGCCCGTATCCGACTTCAGTTCGCGACCGTCCTTAAACCATTGAATGCTGGGTGTTGGATTGCCCTCGGCCTGGCAATTAAACGTAAATGGATCATTTTTTGGCACCGTCGTGTCCATGGGATGCTCGATGATGCGTGGATTTTCACCTGGAATGGAAGGAGAATGAAACGTTTTTTTTAATAATATTCCTCTTGTGTGCAAAGTAACCCTACGCCGAGTAGGCCACTCAAGTGGCGTGTTGTATTTCATTTCGAAAAGGAGCGGAAAAGGATCTCACATGTGGGAGATCATCTCTGGGGACTTCCCCTTCCCTTAGACGAATTTCCATCTTTGACGGCTAAACAAGTTTTGTCACTTAATGCAGCGGCAATTAAGAGGCCATTAAGGAGACTGCAGACTGAGAAATCCCGCCTGAAATTATGTTAAGCAGCAACGAAATTTCACTTGAGGCTGCCGCTCCTCTCAAATTCAATTAACTTCATGAAAATATTTGCCCGCCCACGGCTTCGCGCACAAAGGACCCAGGGAGCCCGAACGACTAAACATAAATTTGTGCATGTCGATGAGGATGAAACAAAGGACATCGCTAGATAAACTTTATTAAAAGCAGCAGAAAGTAACGATGGCCAGCGAGAGCAGTTGGAACCGAACGCAGAACGAACGAACTGTTGGGAAACAGAAATGTAATTACGAAAAGCGCTTAAAGGTGAAAAATGTGTATGTTTGCCAAACGCAGGGAATGGGGACAGAAAAGAGCGATGGAAATCCCCGGACTGAGGTGGAATGCCTTTGGTTAGTAACATCATTCAGCCGGAAATTAAGTTTTCCAGATTTATTGAAAGCGGATAGTAATGAGAGCTTGCAGCGCTGCAGAGGTACGGAAAAACCAGAGCAAACAGGAATGGAGATGGGCTAGTATCACTGTTTGAAAATGGGAAATAAATCACGGGATGTCGGAGGTCAGGGATTTTTCAAGGTAATGTGTGGGTAGATTAGTTACAACGAAATAAATTTAATAAAATATATCATGGCACCCGGAGAAATATTTTTAAAATATTTTTCAAGACCTCAGCTTTGCCAACTAATTTCTATTCTAATCCCAACCCTTCTCCTCTTTCATTAAGCCCCTCGAGAAGTAACAAGATCTGCTCGCCATTCGACACCCAAGGCGTGACCTTTGAACCCCTGGCAATGCCAATATGCAAATCGAATGGCATCGTGACACTGTTATCACCATGAGAAATCACTGAATCAGCATCCAGTGATTTCTATTTCAGCCCAGCAGCAGATGAACGATGACATTTGTCAAATGTGTTTCAGCAAAAAAAGGGGGAAAGAGACTTTGGGGGAAATGGAAGGACTGCACCTTGGACATTTGTCAATTGCCGTTGTACTTGGCTTTTGATGTTGCTGCTGTTGTTGTGATTGGCACCCGGACAGCAGCCTTTTGTTGTATTTTCCAAAGGGGAGGGATAAAGGGTGGTGAGCTTTGAGCCATTGTCTGATTTTGGCCATGTCCAAAAGGCATTGTGCCTGCCCCTTTTGTTTGCCTGAACTCTCATCGTCATGGCTACACGTCTGTGTGCTAATTTAAATGATGAAATATACTCAAATAGTTCTGTCATGCCAACGAGGCGCCACCTTATTAAAAAGCACCACAAAGTCTACATATTTTTTCAGTTCTTGCAACCAACACCTGCCACAACTTTCTTTGCCGACAAACAAAATATTTAATTAAGCAAAAATCTGCTGCTGCACCCAGAGAAATGTGGGACTATTTTTTAGGTAATGTATGACCTAAAAAATTTTCATAGACTAAAATTTCAGATTTAGGTAATGGGTTACCTTAAAATATTAGCATGTGGACTATGTTCCTACTTTTTAGGTAAAGCTAAAGAGATTTTTATAGGCCATCGTAACCTTAAAATTGGTCCATAAGACCTAAAATTTAGGAATAGTTTGAAGTCGATTATTACACACAATTTAATAAAAATATTGGTCCTTAATATTAATAAACAATTTATTCGGTTTTTTAAGTTTATTATTAAAAATTTTTATTAGACTTATCTTAAAGCTAGTGATATAAAAGTTTCAATATATAAACTCAATACCAACGTGGACTATTTTCCTACTTTTAAGGTAATAGTGCCCTATTCTAAAAATAGAATTCGCCTGTGCCCCTAGAAGCAGGCTTTGGTTTTGCCGCAGGGCCTTTAAGTAGTTCCGTAGACCAGAGGCTAGCATATTGGACTCTGGCGCAGAAGACCGGGGATCGATTCCCACCGAGGACAAAATAAAATGATTATTTTTTCAGAAAGATAAAATATTTACTTATCCGAATAAAACAATATAAGCAATTAAAATAAACAAATATGTTACTATCAATAGTAAAAATGTTAATTTTTTTTGAAAATACCTAATATTTAGGTAATTTTGACCTAAAAATCTAGTCCACTAGCCATTTTTTTAGGTAACGATTACCAGAAATAAATTCAAAACTGCGTAAAAAATATAGTCCACATGGACAACATTTAAGGTAATGCATGGCCTTGGCGCATTTTTCTGGCCATGTTTCCTAAAATTTTAGGTAATTAGGCCCCTTTTTAGTCCATTTTGTTTTCTGGGTGTGCTGAATAAATATTTCAGCATTTTTTTTGTTATCCCACCGAAAGCAAACGAAACCACACAGAAAAGCAAAACGAAAGGGAGACAGGACTTCGATAAGCTAGCCAGAGGAAAAGCTAAAAAGAAAGGAAATCAGGTAAAATGTGTAAACTTTCCTGCAAGAATTTTCCACACGCACCAACTCTGTGGCAGTTGTTAAATAAAGAGTTGAAGTTTTTCATAATAATATGTAAAAATGCAGAACTGAGAGAAAATGGCAGCAAAAAACTTTGACAGCAGTGGAGAACAATAAAACGTAGATGCACTGTGAATATATGAGTTAAATAATACCAAAAAATATTTGCTTTTAAAAACATAAAGATATAAGAGAAATTCATTTGAAAAAAATTAAAAATTTTTTATAAATATTTTAGGCACTTAAATCGGTAATTCAATCTGAAAAGCATGCTACAAGCATGCTTTGGTTTATAAATTTAAGTTTCTTTGTTACATTTAAATCCTTTCTTTATCTTTTCAACTTAATACAATTTGGAAAATCTGTGCAACCAAATTTCCTGAAATTTCTCCGTTTGTACCACACAATTACCCATTTCTCCTCAGCACTTAATTACGCTCATTTGGCATATATGCTCTTCATTTGTTGTGCAAGTGTGTCGGTGTATGTGGGTGAAAGTGTATGTAACTGTGCGTGTGTGGGTGGTATGGAAATTTATGCATGCATACACCGTGAGCAAAGAACTCCGCAGAGAAATGTAAAAGAAGTTTTGAGTAAATAAACAGTAACAGGAACAGAGGCAAAAAGTGCTGCCGGCGATGAAATCATGCAAGCATGCACCTAAGCAAACAATCGCGTTCACATTTCGGGGGCCAGAAAGAGACAGTCGCTTTGGTGGCGAAAGAGACGGAAAGAGGGAGCTGGGAAAGAGACGGCAGAACTCATAATGCGCCACTAACGTGTTGGGGAGTTTTGCGGGTTGCAGCAGCAGCAAACACCAACAATAATAACAGGAAATGCATTTCGTATAGTCGCTGTTAAGAAATCGCCTGGCTGCTGTCTGTTATCTTAGCTTACGTTGTTGTTCTCCCCGTTGTTGTTTTTGTTTGCTGCCGTTTTTGTCTGTTTGCCCAATATAAGCATAAAAGAAATTGTGTAGCCCGGGAGCAACATGAGAACATTAAGTGGGTATCACTCGACTGAGATTTACCTTGTGCATAGCTGTTGATTTCCCAAGACTGTTCTTATGAATCGTTGGGAAATTTAATATACCATTAGAGTATGATCTTATGAGACTGCATACCAAAAATCATGACCTTATCTTTAAAAATACATATATTATTCCATATTTTATGACTTCTAGAGTGTGTTGTATCTGAAAAAATGATGATTAAATCAAGAAGTTTCCAAAAACAATATCCCCTGAGACAGGGTACCAAAGACAAGAAGCATTCACAACTGCAACTACAACTTGATGCTGTTGCATTTCTGCTAATTTGCTGTTGCCCCGTTGTTTGACTTTGGGCCAGTAGGTGCTAAAAGAGACTCCAGTCTTCAGTCTCCAGTCTCCGGGGGTTCTCAAGCATCATGCCAATATGCATCATTATTAGCATGTCAACAACACAGCACATACACACACGATACACACGGTGACAACAAAAATCACAACTTTCCCAACTGACGGCAACATTAAACGTGTATACAAGCAGCTGCTCAAAATGCATATGCAAATAAGTTGGCCGGCTCCCCATCTTCACCCACAAGACAGACTTGTAATCAAACAACGAATAGCCGCAATTTAAGGGAGCCGAGGTGGCCGGCAAACAGGTGAAGTTGTTGGGAGCAGCCTGCCGGAAAACCATCATCAAAGCTACATATGTTCGGGTAATTGAAGATGCACATATTTGTACATATATATTTTTGAAAGTGCCTGCATTTAATGTGCCTTAACTTAAAGGAGCTTTCTGACTAAATCTGCTCTTGACAAGGCTACAATATCAGAATATGTGATCATGCATGTGATTAATGTCTTAGTAATTAGCTAGGGTTATCCAAGAAAAATATTTCCTGGGCATTGTATTTTCTAAATATTATTAATAATTATTTTCTTAATTAAAAGCTGCCACTTAAATGCTACAAATAAGTTTTCAGACTGCTTCATAAATATTCATATCCCAAAAATTGATGTTATGTTTAAAAGTCCATTATTGAAATTATTTAATTTTTTGCGTTTACTACAGCTTAACTTTCTTCATCCCTCGTCAGAAAGTAAAAGTTTTTTTCGCTGCTGGCCTCACAAATCACAGAATGTCAAACTGTGGCAGCTTGAGTACTGCTGCAACCATTTTCCTTTTTTGCGCTTGCCTCTTCTATTTTTCCCCCCATTTTTAAAAAATGGGGGAAAGCGACAGGTTGGAAAGTCCTTGATGTGAACTGTGACGTCAGGCGAGGAGGGTCTGTTAAAAAATTAACTGAGCTCCAGCTAGTCCTGTTCCTGTTTTAGTGCCATTTTGATTTTCGTTGTTC